AGGAATGCAAATGTGGTCCTTAAGCTTTCTTAAAAACAACACCAACGCCATAATCAATGTGCTGGCTTTTGTTCTATGCACTAGGTGTTCCAGCACGGTAATGACGTGGTCACGTGAGCCTTGGCTAGAACAGATATTGTCCAGCCTGGGTAGTTCTGTGATTTTAGCTGGAATCGCCTTAACTAAAAAAAACAAACCACCACCAAACAGTAGTTGATCTGAGCTTGTAATAATTGCACAAAAATGAAATTGGTCTATTTTTGCCACAGCAAAGGAATAAACAAAACTTACACGTGGTATACATCATCGCTATCTATCTCGTATTTGGGTACAGACGTACGTGTTCACCCGAGTACTAGAAATAATCAGCCTTCCTAGGGAGAGATCTACACTGCATAACTTGTGCAGAGTTTAATCAGATGTAAAAAATGAACGAGCTGTATGAATTTCAACTTTTTATCTGCAAAGGAAAAATAGAAGTAATGCCTCGGTATTCTAACAAATAACCCAAAGCAAATCCCTAGAGCTGCCATCCATCCCGGCTGTAGTGTGCCACCGGTCCTTGCTCTAGGGAAGGGGAAACGAGCGCATCGATCCAGCATGGCGAGAAGAACCACAAACCCAGAGATGAGAATGGCTCCAGGGCTAGCTATGGGAGAAGAGGCAGGGAAATATTAGAATGTAAAGAGTTAAGCTATGGTAAAACATACTTTTGCTACACTAAAGAAGACTGGTTGATAATTACTGTAGTTTTAGGGCTATTTGAATCAGTGCAGCTGCAACCTCTTCAGTAGTAACCCCTGAAACAAGACAAACTGGGTTTATTGTACTGAACAAGTCTTAAAGCTCCTCCCTGATTGTTAGTAATTGGCAGCAATGGACGTAACAGCCTCTTGACTACCCTTTTTACACTCTACCTGACTGTGCAGCTAACAATTTAAATCACAGATGCCGATCCTTCTTTGTGGCAGCTGCTTGTTAACTACGTGTTCCTCTTTTTCTGTCACTGGCTGCTTCCATAACCCTGCAACACCAGGGTTAGGTTGGAGAATCACATTTCATCAATATTTAAAATGGAATTAAACCTTGAAGTTTGATTAATGCTACCAGATAGTGAGTTGTAATTACTATTTTGCAAATTGCAATTGTTTGAATATGTTAATATGATTGTCTAAGCACATCTTCACCTTCAGAAGTAATTTTCCCTTTAAAAAAGATTTGAAAAAAATACAAACTCTTTAATCAGCAGTAAATTATCCCCCTATGCGCAATTAGGTAGTATGGGGTTCTTCATGTTGTGTGCTGAATTTTTTGTCAGCATATTCATCTTTAAAAGTTTATCCATTTTTTTAGATTTTCCTCAGTAGAATAAACATTCATGGAACTGACCTTGCTGAATCAGGACTAACGACGCTGGTATTTGAAGGTAAAGGAAAAAAGGTTTGTCTGAAAATTTGATTGCAATTTGGTGTGTCCCTATTCAGTTAGTAAATGTGAACAAGTTATTTCTTCTAAAGTTAGCAAAGTATAATGATTCTTATAACGATGCATCACTGAAATATTGAAACAGAGGCACATAGTGAGAGATCTTAATGGATGAGCTGTTAGAATATTTCTAAGTATTGATTGATTATTTTGCATTGTTTTCTTGTGTCTCAGTCAAAAATATGCCCACACAACATATTTTGAATACGGTGGGGCAGATCCTCAGCCAGCCCAAACTGGGATCGCTTCTCTTTAATTTTTGTAATTAATTGAGGCTGTTTTCGTTAAGCAGGCAGAGGCATACGGAGCCAACCCTAGTAGCGACCTGCACGACATCCCCAGAAACAGCATCTGCCCACAGTAGACGATTAACGGGGAGCAAGTCCCACTGATCTACTGTTGGACACTGTCTACACAGTCAACAGGTCAGTCTAGAGTCTTTTTAGGCAAGGAAGACCCAACTAAATCTGTTGGTCGTGCTGTGTTCCTGTAAGTAGCCCATTTCAAAATTAATTCTTCTCAACAAATACTGCTTTGCAAGTTTCTTCCTTGTTTTGGGCAGCTTTGGGGGAAGCTCCAAAGGCCAGCAAAGTCCAAACAGGTGTCTGTCGAAAACGCAGGTGTAGTCCACAGTGAGCTGCAGCCCACTTCAGTCAGTGGATTTCTGCTCGGCATCTCCCCAAAACGAAACCCCTTGTCTAATTTTCAATGTTCAGTCTAAAAGTAGTGGCAGAAGAGATTTCCCGAACTACACACTCCAGATTTATCTCTCAGCTGGGATTAGAAACAGCTGAAAACTCAGGGTGGGCTTGCTGCAGGGTGCTTCCAAGGGATGACTTGAAAATACACTGTAATTTAGGTGCGTTTAATCTTCTTTTATTAAAGGCATATTGCAAAGTTTAGAATTATTTGCTTCTAGCTATCATGTTTCTGTGCTGCTTATGGAAAGCTTAGCTGTGAGAGACTTCTTAGGACTCTGCGTGCTTAGGTGTCTGCCACGATGCAGAGTGGAGACTCGGCAAGCAGCTGGATTGTCATTTAGGCTTCGGCTTTGCCCTCTTAACTAATGCTTTCCCGGGAAACCACCCTGAGCTGTGCAGGAAGATGGACTGCATTGAAACGACAGTACTTAGCGGCTTACACAGGGCGAAAACCTACACTGTTCATCTTAAAAGCCTTGTTAGGTCTTAAAAGCCTGTGTCAGGCCTGGCACTTTGTAGCTGCATGAGTTCCTGATGTCTTGAAGGCTTTCTCTGCAGTGGAGACTCCCCAGTGCACTCCTACATTCAGATCCTCGGCTCCCTCCTCTCTCCAAAGGGAAGCTGGGACCAGGCGCGAGTGGGCATCATCCCTTCCTTCGCTCTCACTTCTGGGAAA